TCTTTTTTTCTTCATTTCCCTTCTCTAAAAACTGGTGCGTCTTATGGTCCGGAGCGTCTTATGGTCCGAAAAATACGGTAGTTACAGAATAGTTATAGAGACATAAATTACAACATAGGGAATATATTGTATAGTCAATAATATAACTAGAGGCCAAGTGCACGCGAGGAGGGTCCCTCAGCCAGGCCTGCACCTCTCATAACCTGGGACCCCTTGGGGGATGTCCACCTGCTGAAGGTATCATGCCTAGGCTGGCAGTCAGACATCCCCTGCAGTCCAGGGTGGGGCTCTTGCAGTTCAGGATCCCTTGCTCCTTTGCCACCTGCCTGCAGCAGAGGCACTGCAGCTATGCTTGCTGTGAGTACAGCTTCTGGCTGAGCAGCACTCCCCCTTTGGGAGAGCACTAACTACCAGGGGGCAGCTCCTGCATTGAGTGTCTGCCCCCTAGTGGTCAGTGAGTGTCAAAGTGACCGGTTGTCCTGTTCAGTCAATTTGCATAACGTGTTTCCCCGAAAATAAAACATCCTCCGAAAATAAGACCTACTTACAGGTTTCCTTCTGAGTGAAATATAAGGCATCCCCCTGAAAATAAAGCCCCCCCCCCCCCCGGATAAATATGAGAGATTTGGTCCACTGATTCTGAAAGAAATGGAGTCACAAGAAATTCACCAGGAAATTCAGGAATTGAATTGCTATAATGATGTTTCAGAAGATGATGACATGATTGTCATTGAATAAATGAGTAAATTCTTGATACTGTAGGATTCACAGTTTGTCTGGTTTGTGTTGACAACTACCGTACTACCGTACCATATACAGGTAATAAATTTCCTTTATTTTCATTTAACAATAAATGTATACCGTATTCTTCTTCATGGGAAAATAAGACATCCCCTGAAAATAAGACCTAGCACATCTTGGAAGCAAAAATTAATATAAGACATTGTCTTATTTTCGGGGAAACAGGGTATTAGGCTTTTATTATATATGTAAATAATAAAAAGGGAAGCAAAATATACATCTGCAAAGTGCTAAAAGACATACATACCCCAAACTCCCTTAAGTGACTGGCAGTGCAAACTCTGGAGTCTGATTGAATTCCATCAATTTTCTAGATGACAGTTCTCTACAAGAACTGATGTTTTAAATTATTGCCATAAAGACCTACAAGATCTTAAATTATTGATGAAAATCTAATAACTTTTTTCTATGCTCTAGGCCATAATGCAAGGAAAGTGCCCTGATATACTTAAGAGAACTAAAAGGATATTCTTATTAGCCATATAATTCAATTAACTGGAACCATCACTGGTAGAGCTTTTAGTGCGAAATGCTTTAAATCTATTATTTATTGTAGGCATACACATACCAAGCACCATACTAAGTGCTTTACAAGCATTTTCCCATTTAATTCTCACAACATTTTCTATGAGAAATCTCTTAAGGGAGATTGGCAAGTGATGGAGCAGGAGTCTTATCTAGGTCTGACTGTGAAGCCCATGCTCTCACATCACTGACAGAAAACCAACTGGAAACTATCCGCACAATAATTATTTGACACCCCCCATCAACAGACTGCATTTTTCTTTAAACAAATATAAACACACACATATGGGCTTCACATGTCAAAATGTTTTCCTTCAAGTAAAATTGTTTATAAGAATAATCAAACTAATCCTGGCTGGGTTTCTCAGTGGCTAAAATATTGCCCTGAAGACCAGAGGGTTCGATTCCTGGTTCAATCCCCAGCCCTGGTCAGGGCAATGTCTCTCTCTCATGTGGATGTTTCTTTTTTTCTCTCTCCCCCTACCTCTCTAGAAAAATAAATAAATGAAAAAAAGTATCTTCACTCTTCAGGTGAGGATTAAAAAAAAAGAAGAAGAAATAAACATTTTGGGAAGATAATTTTTATTTTCAAATAATCTAGATTTTTATTTAAAGTAAAATATATACAACTTCCTAAATAACTGTTCCATTAATTGGTATTCTTTAAATGGAATGTAGCTGAAGGACACGTTTTACAAAATAATTCTTATATTCATTTATAGCCATGTTAGCTAGTTCCAGAAAGATTGACCAATCATATTCTCGGACATAACAAGATCTTTTACTCCTTCTGCCCAGAATGTTCGCTCTAGTTTGTTGAACTGGCAAATTTATAATCTTCCTTCAAATCCCTGTAAGCGTGTTCTCTTGTGAATCCGCCATGCAGAGGCAGACGTAAGTATTCTGCCTCCCCACTGCCACTGTTCTCCTTCTGAACCTCCACTGTCTATGGCTGCTGCCAAAACAGATGCAGTTATCTTTGTATCATCTATTTCTCTCAAGACTGATAGTTGCTCAAGGACAGAAACCATACATCTATTTCCTAGTTTCTAATGTAGAATCCAGCCCAACACAGTTGGGATTCATTACTTAACAAATAACCTAATTTATATAAACCAATAAATTATAAACATTCTAAATTTCTTTAGAGACCACTAACGTGTATGTTTCTACTTTAACTAACTAGAGGCTAACCTGTAATTCTAGTTTTCAAAGAGGTAGGATAGGAGCTGTTTTGTTTTTTTTTTTCCAAACTGATGCAAAATATTTATTCCAAGTTAGTTATTTTATGCAGTAGTTTCCCCCTCAAGACCTGTGATAACCACATCTTTTAAATCTGTAAATAATGTTATCAAAATAATCTTAATCTTTGAAATCTCACAAAAATTTATATTTTACAATCCACCCTGAATATCAAGGCCGCAAGAATAACACATTTCCTATATCAAAATATTTTACAGCTGTACCCAAAAAGGAAAAAAGAAAGAAACAAACAAAAAACCCCCCACATATTCTTGGTTAAGGGCTAACGTTACCCGAGCAGCCAAAAATAAAATAATATATCCAAATTATTGGCATTAATTTAATACAATTGTAGCTTCAATAGTCACTTTGTCATTGACAATGATTGCTTGAGCACAGGGGTGAGTGCCCCAAGGGCTGGTGGAAGCTGTTGCTGCAACCAGTGTCTAGGAGCTGTTTTTTTACAATCTCCATTTAACAACTAAACACCATGTACAAAACACTGTGGTGGGTAGTGTGGAAGTTAAAAAATCAGAATCCCCTTCTCACTGGGAATCACAATTGAGTGGAAAACAGACACCTTCATAATTTTTCAACATATGTTCAGTAAGAACAATAATAGAAATAAGAAGTGCCTTGGAAACCACAAAATAGTAGAGCTAATTATGATTAAGAAGACTAGAGAAGGGATTGACAGATAACACTTAAGCTGGGCCTCGATGAATGGGTAGAAAAGTACATCCTTAGCCAGGGAACAAACAGCATCATGGGCAAAAAGGTTCAGAAGTAAAGACAACAAGTGCGTGTTATACATGTAAGCATTATATCCTTCCTGTCTTTTCTCCTAGCTTATAAGTATTCTTGGGGACATCATCAGCTGCTATCAGCCTATTAAATCAATTTACTCATTGACAAAGGGAACTATCAATCATTAAAAGGTAACTTATTTAATACACTAACTACTTAGTAGATTTGAATTTTTCCTTTATTCTAAAAAAAATTATAATATAGTAGAAAAAATATATGACATAATATTGATAATAGTCAGTGTTAGGTACTCTAAAAGTGCCTTCACGTGTATTCATTTAATTCTCACAATGACCCTATAAATAGACACGACTATTAACCCTATTTTATAAATGAGGAAACTCAGTCACAGAAAGGTGAAATACATTGTCCGAAGCAACCAAAGTAAATGGCAGAGCCAGATTCACACCTCGAAGTCTAGCTCTAGAGCACATGTGTCAAACACAAGGCCCGCGGGCCAAATCCGTCCCGCCAGGCCTTGCAATGTGGCCGGCACTGCGCTGTCATCACTGCACTCCACTGCGTTTCCATCACAATGACAGTTTATGACTGTTCAGGCCTTGCAATTCGGCCCGCGATTTAGGCTGGATTTTAGATTTTGGCCCCTTCTCTGATTGAGTTCGACACCCCTACTCTAGAGTCTGGGCTCATTACCACTGTCTTTGTATACATACAAACATACACACTTTTATTTTTTTTTAAAGAACACATTGGTTATTATCTTGAATATTTTTATTTTGAGTATATTTTTTATAGAATTTAGATTTCTGAATAATTTGCAGATACTTTATTTTTATAATGAGTTCGCTTAAAGCAGGGTACAATTCTATGCAGAAAAAAAGTAAATATCCATGTCAATTAAAAGTAATATTAAATTTAGACAGTGGGCAAAACTAAACTTGAATGTCTAAGATTAAAGTAGACATGAATAATGAAACTATAAAAAGACACAAAGTGATTACTATAAAAACTGAGGTAATGCTTACTTTGAGGGGAAGAAAAGGGTCATAATTAGAAGCACATATGGAGGGGGCTACAGGTAGCTGTCAAAGTTTTATTTTTTGACCTGGATGGTAGTTAGAAAGGTGTTAGCCATATAATAATTAAGCTACTTTTTTTTTTTGGTGTAGATTTCTGTATCTGTAGTTTATTTTACCATAAAAAGATTAAAAGAAAAAAAGTACTTTGAAATATTAAAATTTTCTCTAGTAGAGAGAATACAGAAAATTACCAAAAATTATACTGTTACAAAATCAAGACAAATATTCAGACAAATTAAATATAATATTGCAAAAATGTTTAATAATGTTTTAAAATATGTTTTCTATAACAAGGTATTTTAAAACAGAGAATATGAAATAAGAAAAAATAGGTAAAAATTTGGATCGACAAATTGAGAGAAAATACACATTATGATAAATGCTTTTTATAAAAACCAGTAAGTGAAGAATTCATGTACAACCTTAAAATTAAGACAAATTTTCTTTATACCAATTACATTTAATAAGCACAAAATCATGGAATATAACTATTGAAAATGAAAGCTAAAATTAAACTTAAACTATTTTAAAATATCATGCACAAACATCACAAATAGAGCCTCAGAGTTTGGGGGAAGTACTAACCAGATACTGCCAGCAGCTGTGAAACTCTCACCTCCATTTCCTCCCGATGGGACCTGTCTCTGTCCTCGAATTCACGCGTCCTTCTCCGAGCCTCCTCAGAGGCATGGCGTGCTAACGCATCCTCCTGCTACCAGAAGAATACAAGAAATAGGTATTTCAATTTTGGTTTATAGTGAAAACTCAAAATTTGAGGGTGCTTTATTTGTGGAAGGAAAAAACAGCAGACTATTCCTTAAAACATCAAAACCATAAAAAATTAATGTCAGAGTTACTTTAAAAAGAAAACTTCAGTATTTTCATGCTTTATACCACACTTTGAAAATAACTGAAAATGCTCTTCCCTTTTATGTCCCTATCTTAGTCACCAAAATAAAATCATTTAAGCTGAAACTGGTTTGGCTCAATGGTAGAGCATTGGTCTGCAGACTGAAAGGTCCCAGGTTCGATTCCGGTCAGGGGCATGTACATTGGTTGTGGGCACATCCCCGGTACGGGGTGTGCAAGAGGCAGCTGATCAATGTTTCTCTCTCATCGACGTTTCTAGCTCTCTATCCCTCTCTCCTCCTCTCTGTAAAAAAATCAATAAAATATATATATTTAAAAATAATAAAAATAAGAAGCCATTTAAGAGACATTTAATCTGGAGAGGGAACCAAGATAGCCGTAGGTAAAACATCTGTACTCACTGCACCCCAAAAACCACATAAAAATTACAGCTAAAGTACAGGACGGCCGAAACTGGTTTGGCTCAGTGAATAGAGCGTCAGCCCACGGACTGAAGGGTCCCAGGTTTGATTCCGGTCAAGGGCATGTACATTGGTTGTGGGCACATCCCTGGTGCTTAAGTACACTCTTAGTTAAGTCTTAGCTATTATTTTGCATTTATAAATATATAAAATGTATACATTTGTCAAAACATAATTACACATACGTGCTGTATTCTCAGAATGTACTACATAAGCCAGAAGCACCTGCAAAGTAACACTGTCCTCAACTCCCAGAGGATTTCTATTATTTAGCTAGGTATCAATTAGTACACACCTGCTGATAACAGTATACCCCTTCTATCCTGTGCATTCACTCATTCACTTTTTCATTTTTCCACAAATGTTTAGTGAGTCTTTATTATGTCAAAATCACTGTCCTAGGTGTCATGGATATAATGTGAGGGAACAAATGGTGCTTTTCTTTACAATTTCTGGCCTAGTGAGGCACGTGCACAGTGAACAAATAATTACAAAAATCAATATGTAATTATCAACTGTGATTTAGTCCAGTACAGGAAAATTACACGATGAAATGAGAGCATGAAGCACGAGATGTGATCTAATTCCCTAAGGAAATTATTAGCATCTAATGTGTATTCCAGCAATGGTCAGAAATTTTTTTTTAACCTAACATTAAGATTTTTTTTTAAATGATTTTTTAGAGAGGGAAAAGGAAAGACAAACATTGATGTGCAAGAAAAACATCGGTTGGTTGCCTCCCATACACTCCCTGACTGGGAATTGAAACTACAACCTTTTGGTGTATGGAACAATGCTTCAACCAACTGAGTCACCTGGCCAGAGCGGTCAGAGATTTTTATTTCATTAAAAAACTCACACACACACACACACACACACACACCCAAGTATTATTATTAATAGTTGTAATAAAGTAATAGATTTGGTATCCCTCCACTTTCTAATTCCAGCTGTGTCTTGGTCTCTCCTAGAGAGAAGTAAAATATGTGTGCAGTAAAAAATGTGCATTTTAGCCGAAACTAGTTTGGCTCAGTGGATAGAGCGTTGGCCTACGGACTGAAAGGACCCGGGTTCAATTCCGGTTAAGGGCATGTGCCTTAGTTGCAGGCACATAGCCCGTGGTGGGTGTGCAGGAGGCCGCTGGTTGATGTCTCTCTCTCATCGATGTTTCTAGCTATCTCTCTCCCTTCCTCCTGTAAAAAAATCAATAAGATATATATATTTTAAAATGTGCACTTTAATAAATGGTTAAATCTGAAAGACAATCAACAATTACCAATGTTATCCTGGTCCTTTCCTGTTGCAACCTTAAGCAATACTTCCCTTTCAAGGTCAGCATAAAGGGCACTCGCTGATAAAACTACACGCTCATCCAGTAAAGTACGTTCAAATGGCCTTGGACAATTAACTACCCTGTTTCCCCAAAAATAAGACAGTGTCTTATATTAATTTTTGCTCCCAAAGATGCGCTAGGTCTTATTTTCAGGGGATGTCTTATTTTTTCCATGAAGAAGAATATAGTACACATTTATTGTTAAATGAAAATAAAGGAAATTTATTACCTGTATATGGTACGGTAGTACGGTAGTTGTCAACACAAACCAGACAAACTGTGAATCCTACAGTATCAAGAATTTACTAATTTATTCAATGACAATCATGTCATCATCTTCTGGAACATCATCATAATAATCCAATTCCTGAATTTCCTGGTGAATTTCTTGTGACTCCATTTCTTTCAGAATCAGTGGACCAAATCTCTCATGTTTAGCCTGGGGGGGGGGCCTTATTTTCAGGGAGATGCCTTATATTTCACTCAGAAGGAAACCTGTAAGTAGGTCTTATTTTCAGAGGATATCTTATTTTCGGGGAAACACGGTATCAATCTCAAGTGGTAGCCAAAAAGGTTTTCATCACTCATTGTCTACCAGCTACTTATTCTACTAGTCTATTACTCCATAGTCTATACCACAATCTGTACTAAGTAGTCAGATAGGGTCATCATAAAAGGTGGTTGGTTGGGTATATGTGAAATCCATCTGTGAAATAAAGGTCCAGCAGAGCTTTCATAGAGAATATATAGAATACTCTGATCATTCTTGATGCAGTTAGTTTATCTATATTATATTGCATAAGTCTATAATTATATTTATCTTACAGTTTGGTGATACTTACCTTTCTGCAGCAATGAATTTTAAAATGCAAGTGCATGTTTAATGAAAAAATAAGAATCAAATTCATTTCCAAGAATGTCAATGATAAATGTAAAATTTGCATAAAATAAAGACATTTAACGTTCTGTGTGGACCAGAATTATCACTGATCACACGAAAACCAAAAGATAAATCTGCTGAAGAAACCTCATCATATACTTTAAAGACTACAATATAACAAGTGTACTTGTACATGGTACATTTAACATCATTCTGCAGAACATAACTTTTCATTTAAAACAAATGACCCGCCCAAGCCAGTGTACCTCAGTAACTGAGAGTCAACCTATGAACCAGGTCATGGTTGATTCCCGGTCAGGGCACATGCCTGGGATCCGGGCTCGATCCCCATTGTGGGGTGTGCTGGAGGCAGCTGATCAATGATTCTCTCATCATTGATGTTTCCCTCTCTCCTTCTTCTTTCCTCTCTGAAATCAATAAAGACACATTTAAAAAAAAAAGAAATAAAAAAATAAAACATATGACTATCCTAAGTTAATTTCACTCACATTCCCAAGTGCATACAAAAGCAAAACTGTTTATATGTTGGCTTCATTAACAGAAAAACTAGCTAAAAGACACGAGTTTTACACCAATGTCATCAAGTACCTCAAATACAAAATCTATAAATTTCAACAATGGTTCAATTTTTCTAACCAGATCATAGAATCAAAATGCAGGCATACCTCACCAATTTTGTTTCATTTTACTGCACTTTTTACAAATTGAAGGTTTGTGGATACCCTGCCACAAAAAAATGACAACTTGCTAAAGGCTCAGATAATGGTTAGCATTTTTTAAAACAACAAAGTATTTTAAAAATAGGGCCTGGCCGTCGTAGCTCAGGGCTTGAGTGTCAATCTGGGAACCAGGAGGTCATAGTTCGATTCCCAGTTGGGGCACATGCCTAGGTTGCAGGCTTGGTACCCGGTGGTGGGCATTGTGCGTGTAGGAGGCAGCAATCAATGATTCTCTTTCATCATTGATGTTCCAATGTCTCTCTCTCCCTTCCTCTCTGAAATCAATAAACAACAAAACCCCATAAATATTAAAATTAGGGTATGTACATATGTACATACATTCTTTTTTAGACATAATGTTGTTGTATACTTACTAGACTACAGTATAGTGTAAACATAACTTTTATGTGTACTGGGAACCCAAAAATTGGTATGACTTGCTTTATTCCAATAGTTGCTTTATTGAAGTGGTCTAGAACCAAACCTACCATATTGCCAAGGTATGCATGTAAAACTTTTTTTTTTTTTTAATATTTTTTACAGGAATTTTTTTTAAAAGGCAGAGAAAAACTTGAAATATCAACATTCTGGAAAAAAATAAAAAATAAATCAGTTTTATGAAGAGTGAGAATGGGACCTGGGATGCAGGAACAAGAGAAGTAAATGTTGGGCAAACATTTCTGTGGGAGCTCCCTTCGCTGTTGTGCAGCAGAAACAGATTCTCAGTTCATTTTTACTCCCACTGCATTATAATTTAACAGAAATTGTTTATATCCTGGAAAAACTTTCTGTTTAAAAAATAAACAAGTGAATGTTGGAAATTAGTCCGTTAATGTTCTTAATAAAGTGTTCTTGGAGTTTAAAATTGTAAATATTTGTTTATTCTCCCTCTGATAGGAGAGTAAGAGCTGCCAGCCCTCATGCCTCGCCCTGCTTGCCAAAGGTGGAACTTGAAGGACCAAAGAGCTGAGGGGAAAGTTGGGTGCAGCTCGTAATTAAACTGCCAGGCTATTACTGTTATTAGTGAAATTCAGGTAGCTTTGTTTAATAAATGCCTCTCAATTCATGCCCTTTGGTTAATGTCAGACATTAAATGGTTTTATTTTTTTAAACCATTTTATCCAGTGTTTGGGGAGAGGATTTGCCAAGCTCCTCCTGCTACATTTTATTATGAACTATTTTTTTCTTCCTCATGATGTTCTAAAGATCAGGAACAAATATTAAAGAGAACCATTTACTGGACTCTAAAGTAGCCCACTGAGCAGATCAGGGTAATCAAATGAAATTTTACAACCACTGAAGGAAAAACTTACCTAAAACTAGGACCAGAATTTGTATTTCAACATCTTCAGGATTCCTCAATATTATTTAAACATGAGGCTTTTTATACTTACTCTTTTTAAAAAAAAATACATATTTTTATTGACTTCAGAGAGGAAGGGAGAGGAGAGAGAGAGAAACATCTATGATGAAAGAGAATGGGTGATGGGCTGCCTCCTGCACACCCTCTACTGGGGATCAAGCCCGCAACCCAGGCATGTGTCCTTGGCTGGAATAGAACCTGGGGCCCTTCAGTCCGCAGCCTGACGCTCTATCCACTGAACCAAACTGGTAAGGACAATACTTACTCTTTTTTTTTTTTTTAATTAAAAAAAAATTTTTTTTAATACTTACTCTTAAAGATGGGGTAAAATAGATCCCCAGACACAGGCAACATTAGGGGCCTATAAAGGGACCACACTCAGTAAAGTCTGAAGTTTCCCTACCTGGGCTCGCTCCTCATCAAATTCCAGGCAGCCCATACCATCCAGTCTCTGGAGATCAATCCAACCTTTCCAGATGACACAGACTCCATTCAGAATCATTGGAGCCTTCAAATAGACCTAAGACACAGAAAAGGGTGAAAACAAATCAGACACATGAAAAACAAAGGTCAAAGTTACTTATGAAAACTGTGATTTGATTTTCTTAGGAAATAAAAAATAAATAAATACTATCATAAAATCAAGAATTATAAGTACTAGTATATAAACTATAGCCTCTGACCATATTCTATACATTAAGTTAATCTGGTTTACCAGAATTTTATTTCTAGTTACAATTCTTCCAGATTACTTAAAAAAAAAAAAAAGTTTTACAAATTTTATAAAAACTATAGTAAGATGGTTTTTTTAGGTAGACATCATTGCTCCTCCAGCTGTAGCTGGGACAATAAAGTACTTTGCCTTGGTTTTTGAATCTTAAGTAGAAAGATATAAAGATGGAAAACAACTGGAATTCATCAGCCCCTAAAAAGTGTGCAACTGCTTCCATTTATTTGGATCCCTGGAGCTACCCAGGGTCAGGCTCTTTTACACTTTTCTTCAGTTTTATAAGCAACTTCATAGCTATCTGATAATGCTGCTTTTTAAATTGAATTTATTGGTGTGACAATGATTAATAAAATTATATAGGTTTCAGATGTACAATTCTATATCACCTGTATGTTGAATTGTGTGTTCACTACTCAAGTCAAGTAGGTAATGCTGCCTTTATTTTATCTTTTTTATATTTTTGTTGATTTTGGAGAGGAAGGGAGAGGGAGAGAGAAACATCAATGATGAAACAGAATCATTGACTGGCTGTCTTCTGCACGCCCCCTACTGGATCCTGCAACCTGAGCATGTGCCCTTGACCGGATCGAACCTGGGATCCTGCAGTCGGCAGGCCAATGCTCTATCCACTGAGCAAAACTAGCCATGGCAATGCTGCCTTTTAAAAAACACACAAAAACTTAAGTTAGCCGTAGTTGATTTTTCCTGCTTATAAGTAAAAACCTTAATAAGACATTTATTTATTCCAATCTCCCTCACCCTCATACCATACTATTCTAATAGTAACATTAAAATTTTTCATTTTAGATTAAAAAAAACTTATTTTATTTTAGATCTTCACTTCCTCAGTTAAAGAAAGCTTCTAAACAAAATTCAACATAGACTTTTTATTTTTATTTCACTTATTTTTAAAACACATACTTTATAAAAAAAACAATACATTTTTATTGATTTCAGAGAGGAAGGAAGAGGGAGAGACAGAAACCTCAATGGTAAGAGAGAATCACTGACTGGCTGTCTCCTGCATGCCCCACACTGGGGATAAGGCCCACAACCCGGGCATATGCCCTGACCAAAAATCGAACCATGACCCTTTGGTTCATAGGTCAGCATTCAACCACTGAGCCATGCTGGCTGGGCTCAACATAGACTTTTAAATCATTAAATGCCTTATGATTTATAAGTCCTACATAGGAAGCAGGACTTCAACGAATTTTCAAAACTCAGTTACCAAATATCTTTTTTTTTTAAATGAATACTTGCACATCATTTACTACATGCCAGGATTTGCTCTAATATCTCCCACTCCAATATATTTTTATTGATTTCAAAGAGAGGAGGAGGGAGATAGAAACATCAATGATGAGAATCACTGATTGGCTGCCTCCTACATGCCCCTTACTGAGGATCTAGCCTGTAACCCTGGGCATGTGCCTTGATGGGAAATCGAACCATAACTTTCTGAGCCACACCAGCCAGCGCCCAAATATCCTATATAATAAAGAGGTAATATGCAAATTGACCCTTACACTCTTGCATCACAAGATGTCCTTCCCTACATTGTCACAAGACAGCCACCTCCACATAGTCACAAGATAGCCAGCAGGGGAGGGGAGCTGGGGGAGACCAAGTCTGTAAAGGAGGGCATTTGGGGGTGATTGAGCCGGTAGGCAGAGTGGTTAGGGGCAATCAGGCAGCCAGGCAGGCGAGTGGTTAGGAGCCAGCAGTCCTGGATTGTGAGAGGGATGTCTGACTGCCAGTTTAGGCACGATCTCCCAAGGGGTCCCAGATTGGAGAGGGTACAAGCTGGACTGAGGACCCACCCCACCGTGCACACATTTCATGCACTGGGCCTCTAGTTTTTTTTATAAATAAGGTTCTTTACTCGTCTATACTGAATGTTTTCTATGAATAATCTCAGTGCTTTTGTAAGCTAAAATTTGCATTATTTATTACCTATTCTATATAATAAAGAATTGATATGCAAATGGTCGTCCTCACTCCATAAAGGCTCAGACACTCAACACTGGGGAGAGAAAAATGGGGACCAGCCAGGCAAAAATGAGCTCATGAGAGAAGAATGGGACAAGCCAGGGTGCAGCCGGAAGAGGGACAAGCCGCCTGCCCTGGGGTCCCAGGCACCAGTGAGAGGGACAAGCTGCACACCTCTGTGGTCCCAGGCACCAGTGGCTGGGGCTGCAGCGTGGGAGAGGGACAAGCTGCCTGCCCCATGGTCCTGGGCGCCTGCAGCTGCAGCCCAGGCGAAGTGCCCACCCACAGTCCCCTGAAGCTGTGGCTGGCCTGAGTGAATCCGGCCCAGGTCTTGGGTGCCTGCAGTCAGCCAGAAGGAAGGAAGCCCAGGTCCTGTGTGTCTGCAACGGCCAAAGGAGGGAATCCTGGGTCCCAGGTGTGGGGCGAGGCAGAGGCGGTTAGGGGCGATCAGGCTGGTAGGGGAGCAGTTAGGGGCAATCAAGCAGGCAGGCAGACAGGTGAGCGGTTAGGAGCCAGCAATCCCAGATTGTGAGAGGCAGTCAGACATCCCCCGAGGGGTCCAGGGTTGGAGGGTGCAGGCCTGGCTGAGGGGACCTGCCCTTCCGTGCACAAATTTCATGCACTGGGCCTTTGTAATGACATAACATCACTAAGACAGCTCATTTTGAGAAAAAAGCTAGAAACATTAACTTTTCCTTTACTCAATTTAGCAGTTTCTTCAACAAAGAATCTTGGTGCATTCTTGTTTTTAAGGAGACTTAGTAAGAATAAATGACTGTCAGTAATTATAAATATGCTAGAGAAATTACAAGACACCTGTAAAAACCCATAGGATTTATACCTTTTTAATATATATTCATGTCATTCCCCTTGACTATTTTAAAAAATATATATATATATATTTTATTGATTCTTTACAGAGAGGAAGGGAGAGGGATAGAGAGCTAGAAATGTCGATGAGAGAGAAACATCAACCAGCTGCCTCCTGTACACCCCCCACCGGGGATGTGCCCACAACCAATGTATATTCCTTTGACCGGAATCGAACCTGGGACCCTCCAGTCCATAGACCGATTTTCTATCCACTGAGCCAAACCGGTTTCGGCTCCCCTTCACTATTAAACAGAACCATTTTTCTTGTTAAAGACTCCAATCAGACGAAACCGCTTTGGCTCAGTGGTAGAGCGTTGGTCTGTGGACTGAAAGGTCCCGGGTTCGATTCCGGTCAGGGGCATGTACCTTGGTTGCAGGCACATCCCCAGTAGGGGGTGTGCAAGAGGCAGCTGGTCGATGTTTCTCTCTCATCGACATTTCTAGCTCTCTATCCCTCTCCCTTCCTCTCTGTAAAAAATCAATAAAATATATATTTTTTAAAAAAGACTCTAATCAATCCTGCTGAACTAATTTCTACTTATATTGGAAAAAAGCTAAAAACATAAAGTTCCATTTCTCCTCCCATTCGGACCAAGGGAAATAGTCTACAGTTATAGCTAAAACCGTTTAACCACACATTTCCTTCTGTTCTGATAAGTGCTCATTCTCTTCCACATAGTAAATTCAAAACACCACTGATATATACCTAAGTCTAACAAGTGACTCTGACCTCATATTTGACACATCACAAAACCTAAAAAAAACAATACCCTTCTATACTGCCTATTAATATAACGACTTACTATATCTTCTAATCAAGATTTCCACCTACTCTTTCTAATGGGGGGGCTGAAGGGAGTGCCACACCAGGGAGGAGTATAACATTTCACTTCTCAATGTGCCTCATTATTTTAACTTCCCATTTATACTAATAAAAGGGTAATATGCTGCCAAAACCGGTTGGCTCAGTGGATAGAGCATTGTCTGTGGACTGAAGGGTCCCAGGTTTGATTCCAGTCAGGGGCATGTACATTGGTTGCGGGCATATTCCCAGTAGAGGGTGTGCAGGAGACAGCTGGTCGATGTTTCTCTCTCATCGACGTTTCTAGCTCTCTATCCCTCTCTGTGGAAAATCAATAAAATATATTTAAAAAATAAAAATAAAAAATAAATTTAAAAAAAGGATAATATGCTAATTAGACTGGGAGACCTTCTGGTCAAAGCTATTGGGATGGGACTGAGGCGGAGGAACAGTTTGAGGTGAGCAAGGTGGCGGGGGGGGGGGGGGGGGGGGGGGGGAGCTGTTGGGGGCAAGCAGGCAGGGTGGTTAAGGGCAACCAGGCAGGTGAGCAGTTAGGAGCCAGCGGTCCCAGACTGTGAGAGGGATGTAGGCTAGGCTGAGGAACCCCCCATCCCGTGCACAAATTTCATGCACCAGGTCACTAGTACTAATTATAAAGATAATTCTTTTAATGGCAGAGAAAGGTCAACTTCATAATCAGATTCTACATTCACCAATGAGTTTATATCTTTTAGAATCAAAGATTCCATAAATGTAGTTTATTTATATCCACAGCCAAAATATTCCTTAAAAAAAATTACTAAAATTTTTTAAAGCCTATTTCTTCTTCTTTCTTCTTCTTTTTTTAAATATATTTTTTATTGATTTTGTACAGAGAAGAAGGGAGAGAGATAGTTAGAAACATCGATGAGAGTCATCGATCAGCTGCCTCTTGCACACCCCCTACTGGGGATATGCCCGCAACCAAGGTACATGCTCTTGACCGGAATCGAACCAGGGACCCTTCAGTCCCCAAGCCGACACTCTATCCATTGAGCCAAGCCAGTCTCGGCTTCTTCTTCTTTTTTGGTTGTCAAATGATCTTTAATTGGAATATATTCTTTTGTAGTTCTTAACTAGCTGG